TTTTTTCACTTTACACTTACTTCTAAATATTCCATTCTCTGCCTATCCTATTTCCTCACCCCCAAAACTCTATAACCACCCTTTTTGCAGGACAAAATGCTGGGACTAGGGGTATATGAGTGGGCCTACATAAGCTACTTTTTCCATAAACAGAATCTCAGATCTAGCGAATAGGTAGTCGCGGATCAGCAGCAAAAAAATGCTACCGGAGCGCGGGCAGCTGAGATCTGGCGCACCGCGACCGCCTTGCAAGATGCCACAAAGCCCAGTGAATGGACTTTGACATGGCGATCGTGAACCGCCATTAAGTCGTCTTGTTGGGCACTACTGCCTTGTGATTCGGTTCTTAAGTAAAGCGCTAGCACATATACCCGCGAACATACATTTAGAGCAACCATTGTGAACCCGTCTCAGACTCGTAAAATATATTCGACTACAGTATTACGATCCGTGCTACGGCGTCTACAGGAACTTGCGCGCTCCGCAGTTCAGGTCGAGGCGTGTGGGGACTAGTAGTACGCGGGGTAGACTACTCAATCGGGAACGGATTTCTGGTATTGAGTGCTAGAATGTGCGCAGTCCTCATCGGTACAGCGTGGATGTCTGTTATTCGTCTGAGGTCAGAATTCCCGATTCTGGTTCCCGGAAAACAGAGTTCCCAGGAGTCAACTCGCACTTGACCCCCTACCACCAGGACCTACGCAACTCATCTGATAGACACGGCATGGCTCTCCCCCTCTCGCGTCCAGTGAACCATGCACTATTTTCTTGAGAACCATTTAATGGCCTGCATGTTACTTAAGGATAACTTAACGAGCATCTGCTGTTTCCGCATACACACCAATATAAGCTACCGAACAGCGCGATAAATAAATTTAATGTGCGCATCTGCAAGGGTTAGTTAGACGACTCGCTGTTATCTGTCGAAGATGATCGAAAATTCAAGATACATAAGTACCGCTGCTCAAGGACCATGACTAGAGTTTCAAGTGTGGCTGTCCGCACTTGCTGCAACAACACTGCGAGATTATCCTAGGCCATCCATGAAAGACAACTGAGATAATTTGGCCACAATTTTGCTATCCACCCCACGAGCTCGGTCTTGCTGCTCTCAGTCCGATGCCTTTGCCTAATTCGATGCACCGCAGAGGAGGTCAGGTCCAAACCTGGCTGGACAAAATTTGTTAGGATATGGAAGTGGTTCTTGAATCTTCGGTATTCGGTCTATACAGGTGGCGAGGTGACTCGATTGTGGTGTGCAGGTCCACTGTCGTAGATAGTAATGTGTGGAGAGGTACAATATATGACAGCACCTGGGCCGTCTAGATCAGGGATTGTACCTCCCCCCGCGCGTAGCGATCTGGGGCAACGGCTCTAGGCGGCCCAACTCACTGTCTTATACAGCGATGCAGGCCAAGTAATGGCGACTCGATAACTGCTTTCATGGCTTATTGTGTCGATTTAGGTTTCGTGTCGACCTCCTCTGCGATATAGCCACTTTAGCAATGGTGAGTTCCTAAGGCGACTGGTGAAGGCGTGCCTAAACCGCGTCAGTTGTCTTTCTTGGATGACCCGGGGTTATCCTCGCGATGTTGTTGCAGCAAGTTTGGACTGTGACATTTGAGGCGAAGTCGCCCTACCTCGCTCGAAAAATTCTCTTCATGTAGCAGTGGTCAAATACTGTCAGTGTTCACTCACTCACTCACTCACACACAGCGCCGCATTTGTCATACGCCTTCTCGGCATATGATGCCAGTCTTTTTGTTCAACTATTC